GATCCTCCTGCCTCAGCCTCCTGAGTCACTGGGATGACAGGTGGGCACCCCCACGCTGGGTTCAGGTCAGTGATTCTTCCATGGTGCTCCCTAGGGGGCATCTGCATTTTCTAGAGACATCTCTGTGGTGACAAGTGGTTTCTACGCTGGTGGCATGTAGGGGTGTAGGGCAGGGTCACTGCTCAACATTCTACAGTGGACAAGACAGTCCCTCACTACAGAATAGCCCCATCCAAAATCCTGGTGGCCCCAGAGTTGAGCAGTCCTTGTTCACACCAATTGAAAACACCTTCCTTCCGTATCCTCAATTATAGATTCTTTTTCTTYATTTTTTTTCTATTAAAATACATGAATGAATGAAAATGCAGTGAACCTGTTAGTAAGTGACACCTAGGAGAGATTCGAGCGACCAGTTCTTTCATTCCTCCAGGAAATGCCCGGTTTCCCTCTCCCCGGCCTCTAGGTAAAATGCAGGTCTCCCTGGTGAGCAGGAGGCCCTGGCCTCACCCCCTGGGCCTCAGGGACCCCACCCCTTTCTGCCACGCCCCTGCAGAGCCAGCCTCAGGTCCCTCGGCCACACTGCCCTCACCCTCCAGAGACGAGACCCAACCCCCTGAGCCTTGCAGCTCCCGAGGCAGGCCAGGTGGCTTCTGTTCTCCCCAGCCTTGCTGTCCGCTTCCTGCCGCTGGACCTGGCCTCCTGTGTGCAGTGGAGGCCCTGAGCCTCTGCTCCCTGGGTGTGGCCTCAGCTCCTGGGGGCCCAGGTGGAAGGCGGTCCAGAACGGCTGGAGGTCACTGGGGTCTGCGCCCCCTCCCAGGCACACTCACGGAGTCTCTGGACGTGGCCTCTGTGGGTGCAGGTCTGGGGGTGGGTCTGCGAGCCGGTGGCTCTGTCCCTCCATGTTGGCACCTTTACCAGCAGACGGGAATCCCCGGGGCCGGGTTAGTGCTGAGAGAGATCTGTGCCTTGGAGAACCGTCTCCCGCACAGGCAGGCCGCACGGTCCGCCCTGACTGCGGCTGGTCTTGCTTCTGCCCTGGCCCTGATCTCCTTGGGTGACCTCTCCGTGGGGCTTCCTGCCGTCACCTGATGGGCGTGACGTGTGGTCAGACTGGAACAGGAAGCCGGGCCAGCTCCCGGGGAAAGGCCTTACCTTTGAATCTTTTCTTCCGTTTTCATCATTATTTTCTTCAAGGCCAATGACTAGAAGTAGAATGGGTCATAACTCTGCAGAGGTCTGGGAACGGCTGGGCACAGCCCCCAGGGACATGGGTGACCATGACAGTGAGGTCGCCTCTGCAGATGGGTCCTGGGGGCAGAAAGGCGGAAATGCTGGGGCGCCCTGGGCCTCTCTGCACATGCTCTTGAGCATGGTGCGGAGGAAGGCGCTGGCCCTGGGCRCTGTCTGCAGGAGCCCAGAGTGACCCTGTGTTCAGTGGCTGCTTGGTGTCTCCCTCAGCRCCTCCTTCCCCAGACGGTCTCAGCCTGAAGAGGCCAGGACATGAGYGCGTCCCAGGTGAGTCCTGGTCAACCCGGCCGTCTGGTCAGCACCTCGCTCCCCCAGGTCAGCACCGACCCTCCCAGCACCTGGGCTGCTTCCTCTGGCGCCTGGCCCTTCTCCCGCTTGACTCCTTCCTACCAAAACTCCACACCTCTGGCCRCCGCCTGCCCGGCCAGACTGGCCCTTTGCTGAAGGCCAGATGTGAGGTGTCCTCGTCCAGCCTGCAGCTGCTGGCCCCCGGCTGTGTCTTGGCATCTGAAGCGAGTTCCCTGCACCTCCTGGGGACACTCAAAAGCAGAGCTGGGGACTGCAGCGAGTCCCAGGCACCCAGGCGGGAGAGGAAGCAAGTGGAGGCCGGTGTTGGGATCTGACCTTGGCRAAGCCCGCTGACACTCAGTGCCACCGTGGAGGCTGCGCCAGGGGGACAGTGTGAAAGGAAAGCGAGGAAYGGAGGTGGGCGGGAGAGAAATGAAAGACAGAGACCAGGCAGAGACGCTGAGAAAGGAGGGCCGCCCGCCCCTCAGGAGAGAGGCAGGACAGGGCTGGGCTTCCAGGGGCAGGCTCGGGGGTCAGAGCGGGCCCCCATGTGGAGGTGAAGGCTGCGGTTGGTATGGGGGGGTGAGCCTTTGTCACTTACGATGGCCGTCCCGACCTGAGCAAGGACCTTCCTGGGCCACGCTGAAGGACCGGCTTTGCAAGGAGGCAGGGCCATGACATGCTGATGGGAACAGGAAGCGGGCGGGAGGTGGCGGGGTGCCCGGGAGGGGCAGGCGGCAGGAGGCAGGAGGGCGGGAGACCTGGCCTCCTGGCCTGATGGCTTCTCCGGGCTCACAGCCCCGCCCTGGCCTGATGGAGACCCTTCTGTGTCCTGGGTCCCAGGCCGCGAGGCCCCGTGGCGTCCTTATGCAGGAGGGGARTCTGCCACCAGGAGGGCTGACCTTCGAGGACATCGCTGTGAACTTCACCCGGGACGAGTGGCAGCAGCTGAGCCCTGAACAGAGACGTCTGTACCAGGAGGTGACGCTGGAGAACTACCGCAACCTGGTCTCCCTGGGTGAGTGGGCAGTGAGGCCCGCGG